TGGCAGCTTAGACCAACCATATCCTACCACATCATATTGCCTAGTCAGTCTTATTTTCTAAAATTATAGGTTAACCTAAACCTTTTAGTATTTCCATTTTGACCCCTAAATTTCCATTTTGACCCTTGAAGTTCTTAAAATTTCATTTTGGCCCTAAATCTTTCCAAAAAATATTTTTGACCCTTTAACTTTACTTAAATTTACATAAATTTTATTTTCACCCCTATATTTTTCTAGAAGTACATTTTGACCCCTATACCTTTTAAAATTTTTATTTTTACCCCTATACTTTTCTGAAACTCCTATTTTACTTTTCAAAATTCTCATTCTGTCCCCATATCCTTTCAAATTTTTATTTTCCTCCTATATCTTTCCAACATTTCCTATTTGCCCTTAAATTCACTAAAATTTTTGTTTACCTTAATTTCCCTAGAAATTTATTCCTTATCAGCCCTGACTCCTAACAAAATGCCTTCAAGACTTAGGACATGAGAGTTGGAGATAGAAGAGATAAGATGTAGGACACAAGAGTTAAGATGGAAGAGATGAAATGTAGGACATAGGAGTTAGACAATAACAGAGAAAACTTAGAAGGAGATTCAGGAAGTAGCAGTTCATCATCTACTAACAACCATCGTCGTCCTTGACAATAATAATTTCATTCTAATGACATCAAGGTAGACATTATTGAATTCAAGGAAAAACTCCAACCAGATGAGTTCGTAGACTAGCTTTAAATTATTGAACATGTAGATGCACATAAAGTCAAGATAATCCTCAAACTCAAGAAACATGCCTCTATTTGGTAGGAAAACCTTAGATAAAAGTGAAAACATGAGGGGAAGTACAAGATTGAGACTTGGAAAAAAATGAAACACCAGCTTACTAGGAAATTTCTGGCAAACCATTACCACAGCTTTGTCCAATTGTAAAATCTTCGACAGAGGTCCTTGTCTATAAAAGAGTATATCAAAGAATTTGAACAACTCATGATGAAGTGTGACATTCAAGAGAAGGAGGAGCAAGCAATAGTTCGATACCTTGCAAACTTAAACATAATCATCAGTCATCCAGTCCAGCTTCAGTAGTAACCTTGGATGATGTAATCCATCTAGCCATATGTGTTGAGAAACAGATGCCCAAGAGATCATCTTTTAGCCCACTTCCTTCAGAGGTTATTTAGATGCCTACAAGGCTTTCAACAGACTACCCCTCAAGTAAGTTGCAAATTGACGCTATATGTAAGCTAGCAGTAAATACTACCACTAAGGAATTTAGCTCTAAAGTAATTAAATGCTTTAAATGCCAAGGATTTAGCCACATTGCTATGGATTGTCCTACTCGAAGGGTTGTGACCATTAGGGAAAGGTAAGTGTATGAAGAACTCAAAGAAGATGAGGAGGAGACTAAGTCTTATGAGACTAATCTACTATATGATAAAGAAGTTATACCTGTAAATCATGGGAAGCATTAGTTATTAGATGATGTCTGCATACTAATGTAGTTGAGGAAGAACTTTAGCTACGATGTAATATTTTTCACACCCATTGCATGACCCAAGGAAAAGTTTGTAATGTCATTATTAACAATAAAAGCTGTGAAAATGTAGTGCCTAACTACATGGTGGAGGAATTAAAGTTTCCAACATAAGACCATCCACATCCTTACAAGCTTCATTAGTTCAATAAAGGGAATAAGATAAAAGCTTATAAATAATGCCCCATGACCTTTGCTATTAGGAATAGATATTGTGATGAAATTTTGTGTGATATTATTCCCATAGATGTATGCAACCTTCTTTTGAGAGACTATGGCAATAGATCAACATGCTATGCAAAAAGGGCATGCAAACACTTAGTCTTTCACGAAAGATGGTGTCCAATTCATACTAGTACCTTTGCCGCCCAGTGAGATTAGCCAATCTTCATGGGAATTTCCTTTGATAACCAAGGAGGGGAATTTAAAGTGATAAAGTCTGAAGCCCAAATGATGAGCTTCATTTTAGTGGTTGAAGTGAACGATAAGTCTGCTAATCCACTAAGAGTCATTTCTTTATTGTCTGAATTTTCAAATGTGATATCTAATAAGATACCACCAGGGTTGCTTTCCTTGCGAGACATATATCATGCCATTGACTTCATTCCAGGAGTAGCCATTCTTAATAAGCCTGCTTACAAAATGAGTCCCAGGAATATGTCAAAGTCCAACGACAAGTTAAAGAGCTATTGTAGAAAGGGTTAGTTCAAGAAAGTGTCAACTCTTATACTGTACCTATTCTTCTAGTACCTAAAAAGGATTGGAATTGGGGAGTTAGAGAATGCGCATTGATTGTCGAGCTATTAACACTATCACTATTAAGTATCGATTTCTATACCTCAACTCAATGATATACTAGACTATTTACATGGTGCTACTACCTTTTTCAAAATTGACATTCGTAATGGATACCACCAAATCAGAATTTGGATAAGAGATGCGTGGAAGACTGCTTTTAAGATTAGAGATGGCTTGTATGGGTGAAATGTGATGCCTTTTGGGTTGACAAATACCCTTAACACGTTTATGCTCCTAATGAATCAGATATTGAGACCCTTTATTAGTAAATTTATTATTGTATACTTTAATGATTTCTTACTCACGACAAGTTTTGTAATCCTTGTGAGAATAGAAGCTTTATGCTAATCTCAAGAAGCGCACATTCCTCATCAGTGAAGTTGTGTTCTTGGGTGGCATCATTATTGCAGAAGGTGTTCAAGTTAATCCAAGCAAAGCTACAGCCATTGATAGCTAGCCATTCCAACATCTATTCAAGAAGCTTGAAGCTTTCCACAAATTAGCTTCTTTCTACAGGAGGTTCATCCATAATTTTAGCTCTATTGCTACACCACTTATAGAGTACACTAAAGGAGATAAATTTCAATAAACAGAGCAAGCTCAGAAAATTTTGAGGAGCTTAAGAAGAAGTTGACCAAAGCTCCAGTCGTATAGCTCTCCTTATTTTAACCAAATGTTTAAATTTAGTTATGGTGCTTCCAACATCGATATTAGTGCTGTCTTAGTTAAAAGGGCTATCCCATCACTTTTTTTTAGTAAGAAGCTTAATGATACTGAACTTAGTTATTCTACCTATGATAAAGAATTTATGTTGTTGTTCGAGCTCTCCAACATTAGAGTCACAATCTCCTGAACAAAGAGTTCATACTCTTTTCAGATCATGAGGCCCTCAAGTATTTAAATTCTCAACAAATCAGCCAAACCATGACCATTAGAGTGAACTCTTATAGTCTTATTGATTTCTTATTGAGCATAAGGCTAAACTTTAAATTTAGTAGCTGGTGCGTTTAGGTATCAACATGTATTGGTCACAACAATGCAGACTAAAGTTGTTGGGTTTGACCTTATCAAAGAACTATATCAGGATTATCCTAATTTTTGAGGAGCAGGGGAAGCATTAAAGAATAACCTTTCTACTAATACTACAAGCTTGAAGGGCTCTTATTTCATGGAAAGACCCTATGTATTCCCCAGTGTTCATTATGGATAGCAATAATTTGAAAATCACATGACGGTGGATTAACCGAACATTTCAAAAGGGTAAAATAGTTGACCTAGTAAAGGAGAACTTTTACTAGCTTAAC